TCAATATAACAGATCTACTCCTACATGTACATATAAAAATGTAATAACAATAATAATAAAATATTATAACTTGACCACACTTTGTGCAGCAAATCACAACACCAATTAGGAGAATGTAATCCAGTGCACTGTAACAGTCTACATGTGTTCCCATTATTTAAAGACTAAAGGCACATATGGGAATCACTAGCTCTCAGAAAACCAAAGACTAGTTCAGCACAGGACCATGTGGTGGAAGCTGTGCCATGGCACATGCATCTAAGCCACCACAATGCAAAGCTAGACAGGACCACCATAGCCCTTGTGGGAGGGAGGGATAGATGGAGAAAGAAAGAGGGCTAGACTCTTCCATCCCCCCCTCCCCAAAAAATAAAACAAAAACAAAACAAAAAACATACAAAAAACAGTGTGTGTCAGAGTCACATCCACAGTTGTAAGATCCGATTTGGCATCCATGCAACACAACAAAGACAACTTGATTAAGGTCTAGAATGGGTTGGTTCCACTCATCCAGTGCCACTGGGACAACTCAGTCCATCAATTGGCAATGAATGCACTGGGGGCCACTCACTCAGATCTCCATTCAGGATCTCATACTGTATGCACTGCATGCAATTCATCAACTGGTAGAAAAATAAGGCAAAGAAACAAAAGAGAAAAAAAACACAACAACGAGTACCAAATATCCAAATCTGTACAATGGGTCATAAAAGTCCGTTCGTACAGATGTGCAATCCCATACACACAGCTTCTCGAAGTGCGCAGTTTGCAGGACATGAGATTCTGTGGGTGATCGAAGCCATCAATCATTCACATCGGGAATCACACGTAAGGTCGAGCTATTGAATCCGCCAAGTTTCCTAACGTGATGCAGTCATAACGGCTGGAGGACGACGACGACGCCGTGTTTCTAACGCATCAGTTAAAAAGATGCATAACATTTTCCTCACGTTGCCAGAGTTGGCAATGATCCCTCCAGCCAGATTTCTGTCATGCTCTGTGACTGTATTCCCTGTCTATGGAGCAATAAATTCAAGTAGTCGGCAGCCGGGATTGGTTCTAACGTGAAATCATCCAACTGGTACATACGCTAGCAGATCCAATCATTCTAGCTATGACCATGTTGTCTGGATAACTCTGAAGTTTCTCAAGTGCGAGGTGTTATTCTGTTAAAAAAAAAAATTAATGCAAATCATGATCAGTGCAGAGCCTAGATATCTGTATTCCGTGATCAGTACAATTCTTGAGGAATTGAGATCATTACAGGGCAATGTAAGAAATCACTTGAATCCATTGATCACCTTCAAGACGTTCAATCTTCAATGTTCTGGCCACTGTTGGCTGACCAAGATAATTCTTGATCATTAGGGACTTGTGACGTACGTGGTTGACATATCAATCTATTCGATACTCGGCCGACATAGGAAACTGTGTATTCTGGGGGTGTTACTTTCAACTTCAGATAGACATCATTAATTAAAAATACTGGTGCCAACCGCTAACATCCTTCCTTCCTGGTCTTTCTTCCAGGTGGGAAAGAGTGGTTGTTTCTGAACACAGTAAGAAAAATTCTGAATCAGAACGCAAACATTAGTATCTATTATTCAAATATTATCATAGTTACAAACTGCGTTTATTGTGTAGTCTAGCTCCCTCGGTTACTAAACTATCGGAGTTAAAACCAAAGTCTAGAAGTCTTGCTCTGGGGCATTATTCTAGAGCTGGTAAATTCGACGAGACTCAGCTCCAATCGCCATTGTCAACATGTTAAACCTACCGAATCCACAAATAAAATGTTCTCGTCACGCATCTACAAGTGAAGACTTCTCCGCTGCTGAAATAACATTGCACGGCATTCTCAGATCTATCTGTGTGACTTTTCACACTGGCAACAAAAAAATTGATCTGGACTACATATGAACTTGGTCGAATGTAGTGGCAAACACAGATTCTGTGTCGAACACAAATTCTGCAACTACTCTTATCAACTTCTGTCTCATCAAGCTCTCCCCTTTCACAGCCTCATCAGAATGCTTGCGTGCTTATCAACCGTTCATGGAACGAGTTTGTATTCTCCATCTGTGATTTTTGAAACCCACCCACTCAATCTTCACCCAACAACAAACAGTTCCCATGAGCATGTTTTGTCCACTTGTGACGTTACGAACTCTTCACAGAGCTGACAGTCGATTCAGGATTATACAAACTGGTTAACAACAATGCAAATGCCCTCTGTTGCCAATCGTTAAAAATAAAAAATGAAGGCAAAAAAATGCACATGGTTGGTGCTGAAAACAATAAACAATCGTTTCCACTCCCCGAAGCAAAATTTCACCATTTATCTGATCTTTCCTATTATTTTATCACCAGAATAGTCTGCTTTTAAAAGCTCTGATGGTATGGGGTTATTCTAACCTACATGATTTACAAGTCTGTGCAACACAGTTTGTTTCAAACAGCCACATATTCTCTCACCAGTTTGCCAGAATCACTGCAACATATTGCTTCTCCATTAACAACTAGTAATAAACTGACCTTCGCAGTAAGACTACTAGTAGTAGTAGTAGTAGTAGATATATGAATTCATATATAATGAGATCGTGTTTGTTGGAAAGGAAAGTCACGTTTCGTTTCTCATGCTATTTAACTGTGGTCGATCAGTTTAACACATTATTGAATAAAGAAATAAAGAAAAAAAGAAAAAAAGAAAAAACAATAATAGAAAAGAAAAAAAACTGCTTGTTAAACAAAATTTTAGAAAATGCTGGAGTTTTGTGTATGGTTTTTGAAACAATCTGTCCATGCAATGCAATAATTGGATATAAAATATAAAAGTGTATCTATTGATTGTTGATAGAAATAAAAACATAAAAAATGCCAATGTATTCAATAATTAATAGATACACATTTACAAATATATATAATTATTGGAATTTAAGGAAAATATATTAAATTTTAAATTTTGAATGTTAATGATATCTATATTTTTATATATTTACTCCATTTTTAAAATTTTATATCTTTCTAAGCACCAAAGTAAATCCCAATGATTATTAGCATATGTCCTAAAGGCTTGATATTTTATCTTTCTGAATTTACTTTATCTTTTGTTAAGTCAAAATTGTTAAATCTTTAAACTTTAGTCACAGTATTTATTTTATTTATATTTTTTTCTATATTTTTAAATACATTATAATTTATCCATTACAAAAAAATTAATAATAATTTATGAAAAAATATTTCTAATATATTGAAAAATATTATTAATTGAAGCCAATATAAATTTTAATATAAATTGCCATTCAAAGATTAACATTAAATGCGTGTAAAAAATTGGCTGTGATTTTGATTAAAAGAAATAACTTTTTAATCTTTAAAAGGTAAATTTCTTGGTCTTATGTGTCATTTATTGTTTAATTGCTATAGATGATAGTTCGATTTTGAAAATAATTTTTATTTACTTAACATGGTATTTTAACGTCCTTTCAATCTTAAATTGTACAATTGCACATGACAAAAGATATTAGAAAAAATAATTTACACAATTTTCGTGGTAGACATTTTGAAATCTACTGAATTTTATTGAATAAATTATAACATATTCATATTTATTATTTTTCGTACTATAATTTTAATATGATCTAGACAAGAATCATTTTTTTCTAATAAACTATAGATAATTAAATTTATTTTCTCAATTCTTGTCTTTATTTTACAAGATGAAGGGTTCTTTAGACATAAAACATCTGCAATTTTATTCAAATTGATATTTTGATGTCTTTGATCTTATTTGGATTAATGAAATTAGTATCAATAAACTTTATTGACTTTTATGTAGAGTACTACAACTCCATTGCAAATTTGGAAATTATGAAGCAACATGTTGGACGACAAGAATCAAATATAAGATGGTTTTTTTTAACAATGTTTTTATCAAAATAAAATAGTATACTTAAAAAATAAATACAAGCTAAGTTAACTCATAAGCAAATTATGGCTTTATAATTAATTAATAGTTAAGATTACCGAATTCATAACCGAATTCAATTCATCTCATTGTTTTTATTCCATTGTTTAAAAATATTTTTAAAGAACAACATTGTAATATTAAAAATTTACTTAAAATTGCTAAATAATATTCAATTTTTTTGGTTTTAAATCATATCTTTTCTATTTTTTTTATCTTTTTTTTAGATTTGAAAATGAAATCAGCATATTTTTTTTTAAAAAAATTTCTATTGTGTTCATATAAAATTAGTTTTATCAATTATTTTTATTTCTATTATTCTAAAAAAAAAAATTGTGACATTTTCCTTTTTTTTCACAAAAGTTTTTCATTTTGTAAAATTTATATTCAAATCAAACTTTTAGATAGAATCTTAATTTAAGGTTTTAAAAATTAATTTTTTCAATAAATATATGTATACATATATATTTAAATTCTTTAGTTATTTCTAGAAAATACTAGGTAATTATTTATTTTTATATTTAAATTAACAAAAAAATGATTAAATATGATTTATCATTTAATTTTTAGATATATATATATATATATATATATATATTAAAAAAAATTATTAGAGGAATCATAAAAAAATTGCTAGTTTTCTTTTACAACACATGCATACAAGAGGGACACATATAGCATCATGTGGCCATCTTACACTAAAAGTAAAAATCCTCACAATAATATCTCACAGGAAGTTTAAACCTCCTAGACATGAAATCCAGTTCAAAATTAAACATCAATTCATTCTATATCAAGTCACCTTTTGGTAAATTAGCAAAATTAATCAAAATTGCGTTCTTTGCAACACCTCGTCCGAAATTGAGCCAATGGGGGGGGGCGGGGTGTGGGGTTACTACGGGCCGGGCTGGGCCAGGGCAAGCCGCTCTCATAGAAGGTCGCCCGGGAACTTCAACCACCGGTCCGGTCATCAACGATAAAAACGATACGTCGAGCATGCAGTGTGAACGGGGGTTTTCGGTCACCTGTTATGAATTCATCAAACTGCGGCGTTTAGAATTTTGTTGCTGCGATGCCGTCATCGTTGGATGGCGAAAGTGGGGCAAATGCGGTGTTGGGTGCACGCTGGTTTACACTCTGCCTTTGCATTTCGAAGTCGCTAAGGCAGAATTTGCTGCAAATTTGAGTTGGGTTAGTATGTTTGTGTGTGTGTGTGTCTGTTGCGGAGCAATTTCATTCGACTGTGGTCTTCGCGAGACAATGTAGAGTTTGGATTGAAGCTTTGTGGTCTTCGCGAGACAATGTAGAGTTTGGATTGATGTACACGAGTGGTGGGTGTTTCTGAGAGTGGTCGAAATGATCAGAGGCTTTGGTCGCAATTTTTGGAGCTGAGATTTTTCTGAGTCTGCCTCTTCCTCAGACCTCGATTTCCAGCGCCGGAGAGTTTTTGGGTGGGACACTGAAGGTCGCGATTCGGGGTTTAGGGTTTAGGGTTTTAGGCTCATAGGTGCACACATTTGACTGTTTTCGACACTTGTGTTCATGGTGCAGGGTTCGTTTCTTGATCAGGGAATTGGGGAGTCTTTGATGTTGGAAGCTGGCGTTAGAATCTTACCAAGAGGACATTGCTTATCGAATCGGTTTTGCGTGATGCGGCATTGGTCCTGGAGGGTTTAGTGCTTGGAAACAGGAGATTATGAAATGATTCTTACTGCATTCTTTCTCTTTGGATAGTGTGAGTTCTCTCAAGGAAGCGTAATTGTTCTTGAGGCATTCTGCTAAGCTTCTGGGAAAATGAGGGGTCGCAGGTTTTATTTCCGTGGAAGTAGTTTGTTTTGTTGCGTTGAGAGAAATCTGGTAGACTCACAGCAAAGCCTTAATCATAATCTAGTGATGCCTTTTCAGGCGTTTAGTAGGTCGTTGGCGTCAGATTCATCACGAACATCTTGGTCTTTCGTAATATTTGATAAAGTAGTTAGCCGATGCCAATTTCAACCTTCAGGCCTTGGACAATTGGAAAACTGGAGGTTTAAGTATTCTTGGAGATCACTTTGTGCTGTTAGTGATGTAGCTGAACCTAAAGTCAAATTTTGTGAGAAGCCATTGGTGGAAAGAACGAGCTTGAAAAGTGCTCTGTCTACTGCATTACAAAATTATTTCATCACCAGCAAGTATGTACCTGCATCAGAAGCAGCACTAATGGTGAAAAATGCCCCGAAGTTTATGAAGAAGCTCTTAGTCCGTGCAAAGGAGGAGAAGTCTTTGATCCTCAAGTCTCAAGCGGTGGATCCTGATCATGACGGCGCCTTGAATTTCCAAGCCCGGGTTGATGCGTGGGTGGCGAAACAAAATGTCGATGAGATTGAAGTATTTTTTGAAACACTCGGATTAGGTGACAAATCTGTGCTTGAATATATTGTAGCTTCAGAAAATCCAAAGCTTGTTGGTGAAGAGGGTCTTCTGGTGAATACGAAGCTTCTCCAGGGGTTAGGAATTCCAAGGAAACGCCTATGGAGGCTTTACGATCGGGACAGGAAACTCTTGAAATGCACACACACGGACTTCTGTGCGAGTATTCGAGTTTTGGACAACCTTGGTGTGCAGAGAAAGGCATTGCCTACATTAGTACAAGCATGCCCCTCTGTTTTACGCATCGATGTTGAGGAAACCATGAAGGATGTTCTTAGGTATATGGAAGATTTAGGGATTGAGAAGAACTTTGTAGGTAGGCTACTGCAGTACAATCCTCAAGAAGTTTTAGGAGCAAGGCACACTCATTTTGGAGAGAAGATGCAGTATCTTCTTGATTGTGGTCTTTCTAAAGATCGCGTTATCAGGATGCTCCGAGACTTCCCTCAGCTGTTAATATTGAGCTTAGAGGTGAATGTGAAGCCCAACATTGAGTTTCTATGTTCCTTGGGGCTTAGGAAAGAGCAGGTAGGAAATATTATCGTTAGATCACCTCAATTACTGAGTTACAGCGTTAAGAAAAATCTTCTTCCCAAGATAGCTTATTTAGAAAGCTTGGGTGTGGAACGAGGTAACGTTGCACCCATCTTAGTTAAGTTTCCAGGAATTTTCGGCCACAGCATTGAGGAAAGCATGACACCGAAGGTGAAGTTTCTCGAGAGTCTTGGTGTGGAACGGAAAAACGTAGGAAAGATCATAACCCTCTTTCCAGCGATTATAGGCTATAGCATTGAGGATAATCTCATCCCTAAAATGAAGTACTTCGAGAGCATCGGAATGGAGAGGGCAAGCTTTGGTCGTGTTGTCACTCGTTCCCCGTCGATACTTGGTTTGAGTGTGGAGCAAAACCTCAAGCCCAAGGTTGCTTTTTTTGAAGCGAATGGTGTGAAGGAAAAAGACATCGCAAGATTATTTACGTCACATCCATCTGTTGTTGGACGAGCTATAGACGGTAGCCTTGCAAGCAAACTGACGTTTCTGGCATCTCTGGGTCTGGAACCAAAATCTGATGCAATGGCTAAAGCTCTCGTGGCATGTGCAGCTCAAAGTGTCACATCACTTGAGATGAAATGCAACAATTTATTAGAGATTGGTTTCCCACAGAAAGCTCTTCTTAATATCGTCATACAGCAACCGACCCTATTGCATCTCTGCGAGGCACATTTGAAATGCAAGGTTAAATTTTACACAGAGGAAGTCGGGCTCGCTGTTGAAGAATTGCCTCCCTCTCTTTTGAGCTATAGTTTGGAGAATCGAATCAAACCTCGATACAAGTGGATGACATTGCTGCAGTCCAGTGGATTGCTGTCCAGAAAGATTCCCATATCAACTGTTATGAGTATTTGTGAGAAATCATTCCTAAAGAAGTTCGTCGAACCTTACCCACAAATGGTTGCACAATATAGTGGAACCTGGTCCCTGCCAACACTTTGAGCAACATCCATTTGTTCGGGATATGCCCAAAACAGCATGAGTCTGTGAAAGTAAGTTACCCTACACTTGTGATTAATTTCACACGTATGACCTCTGCTTCTCGATTTGCAGTTGTAATCCAAGCCTAATCCCTAACTTTGTTCTTCTTTTCTTGAAATTAACCTACGTGTCTGTACACATTGAAGCTGTTCATTGCTGCATGTTATCATGAGTCATTTATCGATTTAGAGCATTCTCCTATTTCGACCCCTTTCAGTTTGTTTTCTCCTTCGAGATGGAATCCTGTTAGCTTAAATTGCTGTGTTGTGCAACTGTATTCTTAACTCACTAAGAATGTTTACAACGAACGCTGTGGACGTCCTCGCATGTTACTTCAGGTGGAGGTGTAAACATTTAAGGTATGGAACGACGTGAGGCTGCATTCTAGGATATTTACTCTCTGGACGAGCTATCAGCTCCTAGATCTCGCAATATCCTCCATGGTCAGCCTTTGAACCATCTTGTGCAGACGTATCCTTATGTTCATGTATATCATTGCAGCAACGCTTGTTTATATCTCGTCACTTGTGCTTTGATTTGAAAGGTATGTTAATTTTTGTCAGAAAAATGATTACCTTTCTCCAAGACGTGTATGTTTTTGAAAAACTTCCGTTCATATACTGAACTTCCGCGACCTGGTCAGTGCAGGACCCTATGGATATGCGGCCAAGAATCAAGATATGTGGACAGTTCACCAATTCAATATTAGTTTACCAATTCCGTGTTGCGGAACTTGGGTGCTCTATTGTAAAATCAGTTTGGGGCGTTGACAGGAACACCTGGCTGTGGATCGAACTGGCCACTAGATGACAACTTATGAATTGGTAATAGATTTCACCTGCAATCGTAATTATATGATTGTTTTTGTTTTCATACTTTCAATAGCTTTGAGTTCTAGCAACTACAGGACCTGCGGTGTTTGAGGTATGGAAGGTTGCCACCTTGGCCGATTCTTATTCTGTTACGAGTATGCTAGACATCTAGTATTTAGACTTAGGATATTGTTGAAAGGATCGGCTGTTAATAGTTTTAGGAGACAACCCCTACATTCCTTATCTATTATCTGTGTGTAGACACACCTATGTTCGTAAACTACGATTATCTATTTTCAATACTAACAAAATCCTTCTAGAACTGGCAAAATTGCACCTATCATAGTTCGAAGTATTGTTCATTCTTCTATCTAGTTGACTTTTTGCAGCATTGCAGCATTGCATTCTTAAATTGACCAATCCACAACCAGTAATTGAGTATTTTTAATGTCAAATATGAAAAAACACATTATTTATAAGCATTTATGGGTTAATTGAGAAAAAACGCAAATATCATTTTCAAGATATTTGTAGAAAAGCTGTGGGTACACAAAGCTCTGCTGTCCATGTGGCCTCTGTTAATTACCTTTGTTAATTGGTAAGAATCAATCAAAATCAATTAATTATTAGAAATCAAAGGTTATTCATTCTGCACAAAAGAATGGAGTTAGTCTTTAAAATCTTGATTAATTAATGAAAGTTATTAGTCTTTGGGGAACTAATTATTGGGGGGTTTTTAAATTTTGAAGAATTAACTATAGGACAGAACTTCGTATATGAATTTATTTGATAAAAATCCAATCTTTGGGCATTGTTTTCTAATAAATGTCTCTAAAACCAAAGTAGCAAGAAAAATCTCAAAATGACATCTAAGACTGGTCATATCTTTATAAAAAAACTACTTGTATATATATATATATATATATATATTAAAAAGTAAAATTTTCGAAATAATATTTTTTAAAAAATGCAATTAAATTCAACATTTCTTTTAACTGTATGTATGTATTATATATATATATATATATTTATATATTTATATACAGTCATAATTAATTAAAGAGGGCTTTGGTCCTAAGTGCATGAACAAAATCTTTAGTAAATCTATATGAATTTAGTTCCCACCTCCAAGGTACAATCTATTTTAGATATCTATTTGTACATAATAGGTTTTGTAGAACTATCTTATGTGAATCCATCTAAATTGTCATCCACAAGGTTCAAGTCTAGGCAAAGAGTTCAATCTCTCATTTCTTCATTAGGACTAAAGACAAAGAGTAGGCATAGAATTGAATTTTCTATTCAAATAAAGATTCTTCCATTTCAAAAGTCAAAATATTATGTAGATTCTAGTGTTCTTGGTTAGAATAACCAACTCAAAGCATGGAGACTTGTGTGCAATCTTTGGTGGTATTTGTTGTCTACAAAATTATTTGCATATGTATCTTACAAACCTCACCTTGGTATATCACCTTCTAAATTTGAACAACATTTCTTTGTACTTTGTAAAGAAAAATCTTTCAATAAAAAAGAATAATTAATTGTGAGATGTGGTCTATGAAAAATAACTTATATTTTGATAGAAGCTCCAATGGTCAATTGTTAGAAGCAAATACTAAGGCACCTACACTGCAAATGTACGCATTTTCTCACTTAAACCCTAATTGTAGTCACACAGGAAACGACAGTAATAGAAGAGGCTACAGCACTCCACAACCTCACAAGCTCTTATGAATCGCAACTGATTCGTCCCCAGTAAAAACAACAATGGAGGATGCAGCGTAATGATCTGAATCAAAAAAAGCAAGAGAACATAATTCTAAGTAAAAATACGAAGAAATTTAAAAATAAGAGTAACAATAATAAAAGAAAAAAGTGCAAAACATTGAGATATGACGCTGAACCTTAAGGGATGTTCAATCTTGATGCCAATTACGATGGATTTTACACGATGTGCAAAATGCAGCACACCAATTTGTATTAAAACTTTTTCACGCTGTGCTAATGAATCTAGAAATATCGTCAAATCCGCCCTCTTTATAATAGTCGGCCAGCTGCTCCCGCACGGCATCCCAAGTGCCCTCAACTGCAGCAAGGTCTAACAAGAAAGCTGCCTGGTCCACCGCCACCTGCACCAATGACAACCAAACCAGTCATTTCATCGAGACTAAAAAGAGGCGCATTACAATGCTTAGAAATAAATGATAGGACCAGAACTTGTGCAAAAATCCCAATCAAAGGCTGAAATTGGCACTGTGGACTGACTTGTTCCAGACTCTTGCCCTTGAGAAGGTCTTCTCGACGACCCTCTTCAGTTAACCTCTCCCGCATGAATTCAATTTGCTCTTCGCCCCAGCCAGCAATGTTTGCGACATCTGCGTACCAGGATCCCAACGTCCACCACGGTGAACGCAGCGCACATCGCGCAGCATCTTTTGCTTCCAGCTTGCGTCCCACCTACAATCGTAAATTGTTATTGAATCATTTCTGCCATTGATGCCCAGTTGTACCATTCAATCGCCCTCTTCCTAGGTTTAATCAAATTCATTCTGACGAACTCCTACCAGGATTACGTAGGATCGTGTCCTTAATGACAGGATAATATGTTCATCTTCACCATGATTCGCGTGCACATCACGCCCTCAGATGTGTTACAACATGAGGTATATGCTATTCATAGAATCAGGATGCGGAAGCTTTCTGCAGCATGATGGAAGGCTGGTTTCCAAATTCATTCGTCAACACTACACCACGAATTCTGGGCTTCATTTTGAGGTGATTTCTAGCGATAGCTCGTCCCCCGTGTTGACTATTGAACTCTTAACCACGGATTTGTAATAAGTGAAAGCATAATTCAAATGTTTCACGCTCTGTTCCAGATGGTTACAAATCTACATACTAGCCGGCTGCAGAGTGGGGATTAGTTACTTGAACAACCTCAGCAGTATATCTTCGACAAAAATGTAGCAACCGAAATTCACTATTTCGTGAAGCAGTAGAGGACGTCGATGAACAGCTGTAAGCTAGTTCTCAGTGCTCTGCAGATATCCTTGATGCTGCACTAATATACTAGTTCGGAAAATTGCATAAACAATTGCTCACTTGTTGAAAGAATCTTCCAAAAAGTAAAAAGAGAGGTAAAAGAAAATTAGACTCCAATGCGTGGGGATACATACCTTCAGCATCAACTCGGCATTGAAGACAAACGGCCTACCGAAGCCTGGAAAATGCTTCTTGCTCGCGTAATACTCCGCCGTCACCAGAGCTGAAATATCATCACCATTCTCTACATGCCGCATTGCAAGCCGCTCAAACACATCCGGGAAGAGCCCTACTTTCTTCATCAAATAAACATCAAGGCTGCTCAATTTCGACGCTTCAAAGTTGCCCCGCTGGTACAAAGAGCTCCCAACCTCACCGGCGCTCTCGCAAATTCTACCCGAGCATCCCGCCACATCCTCCTCTACCAAAGCCCTATGAATGTACTCCTCGGGACTCTTAGCCAGCAATGTAACCCCGAAGCTCTTCACACGCACCACCGGCACGTCCATCCCGCTCGCGGGCGTAGGCCATCGCAGGAGCGCGGTCATGTCTCCATCTTCCGTCGCCGTGAGCGGAATGGCAAGCGGAATTATCCCTTTTCGATTGTAGGGAGACACGACACGCTCTCCTTTAGCTTGAAGCACATTCATTAGTGCTTGAAGCGACGCCGGAGGCTCAAGCGCGGCAACCTCCGTCAGAAACGTTGAATGCTCCGTCTGCGTAAGCGCGGCACTAGGATTCGAAATTGCGTTGAAGCATACGAAGTTGTTCCTGCTGCCTCTACTTCGCTCTCCTCTCGTTACAGAATTCTTCCTCCCACCGGACAAAGGCGGGCAGGGCACCGCTAGAGCCTTGGAGCTCATGGTCTTCATGGCCCTTCTGTGCGCACTCCCTCACACTCTTCAGCAACATCTACTACGCCGAACACATGAACACCAACAACACTCACTCAGGCTCACTCACTCACTCAGACTAAATCTCGCTTGGAAGCGGGAGGCCCGGCATTTCCTTGGCTGACACTGCTCGAGGGGGCTGTGCCGGGCTATCCGGTCCCTGTCCCGCTGTATCCTGGGAATGGATGCCCTCCAACCGTGGCCACGTCAGCTGGTCGTTATGCCACGTCGTAACTTGTCATGGTGATTGTTTGTGCGTTCACACTGCGTTTGTTTGTGGGTATTAGGGTTCTCATGTTTGTACCCATATTTGTATATCAAATGTGTCAAATAAACATAAACTAGTTAAACTTGTGTCATTGCCATGGAAAAGTTGTTCAAGGATTAGTTAAAGTTGCTCAAGGAACTACTCCTACAAAAACAATATTTAGAACAATAGATATGTAAGTCCATAAAAGCTCTTATACATGAAGAAAACTCTCAACAAATGAGGTTCTAGTATAGTATTCTTCATGTTCTTCAAATACATGGGATTCAACTCAAAATCTAAATATGCTTCAATTCACAATTCTAAAAGCATTGCTAAACATACTAGTAAAGCTCATCACATCTTACAATTGTGGCAATAAATCTGGTGATGCATTTGATCTTTTTAATTGAGTAGAAACTTTTGCATGCAGCCTCATAATGCACGCATTCACCAAGCTAATAGACATTCTTGTCATCAACAAAGAGTTTGAAAAAACGGATCTTGCATATAAGAAGCTAGTATAGAAAGAATGTCAGCTAGACTATTTTGAATACAATTTTTTAATTCGTTACTTTGACTACTTTGATCAACTAGATTTGGCTACGGAGAGATTCAAAAAAATGGAGATTAAGGGATGAGAGCCTAATAAATATATTTATGGTTTTTTGGTGAATGTTCTTCACAAAGTAGAGAGGATGCATGAAGTTTGTTCATTCTTTGATGTCATGCTTGAAAGAGGTTTAACTCCAAATGTCCTTACATACAACCTTCTCATAGATGCTTTTAGGAAGGGTAGCCAATTAGATATGGCCTTATAATTCTTTGTTGAGATGAAAAAGAGGGATTTTCAATCTTTGGTAGTAATATATAATATCTTCTTTGATGCATTGTACTTGCTAATATGAGTTGTATATAAAAATCACAACCAACATTGAAGTAAGATTCAATAGCTTTGAATACATTTTTTGGTTAAACATATAATATCACTTCTAATGGCATGGATGAAGTATTATTGAATTGTCTTAGCACTGCTGGCTAATTCTTCTTAAGTTATATATCCATTATTATTGCATAGAACAAATCAAAATTCAACACAATAAAGCATGATATATGACTTACATAGCCCTTATTCATCATCATATATTAATTACTATGAAGATAATGAATAAATGATAAATATTGATACCCGTTCTATTCAAAACTATAAATAAAATAATATAATTCTTGCTAGCAAATACAAAGTTTGTATTCTCTCTTCTAATGAGATATTAGAAAAGTTGAATATGCACAACATGAACAATAAACTTGTTGTAGCAAATACAGTAAAGATCCATTACTAAAGCAATTTTGATATCAAATTATACACATTATAGCTCAAGATCTACGTCTTGAATCAAGTTAAAATTAGGCATAGCTTGTACAAAAGAGAATTATATTGGATGCAATTGTGCTTGTGAATTGCATTAATTGACGATGAAATGTGAGATATGCAATAGAACTTGATGAGCCAAATTAAAGCATGGTATGCAATACAATGATAAGGAAACATTCAATGAAGCTTTTTCAATTAACACTTCATGCATAAAATTTCTTTGACTAGAGTACTTGCATGCATTCCTTCTTAGAAACATTCCAAAACAAGACATTAATATCAATCAACTCTGTCAATTAATATCTTAGTTAATCTCAATTTTGGTTCACTTTTGATGAAAATAATGAAGCATGTAACAAAAAGAGAAGGTTTTTGTCTCTTCTTTTTTATCCCATGTTTTTGTCCCCTCCCTTAAGGTATTATATATATATATATATATAAATATATATAATGGTTTTGTATTATTTTAACCTTCTATTCTTTTATTCTTGCTAATATTTATCAAATTAATGTTTTATTATAGTTTTTATTTATCAATTTAAATTTAAAAAAATTAAAAATTAAATTTTTATTTAAAATAAGAACTAGTTACTTTTTCCTAAGGTATGTATATAAAGATGTGTGGCATAGGGGTGTTCATGTAAGAAAAGAGATGTGTCTATTTAATAGACCCCTTTATTTCTTGCCAAAGCTATATTAAAACTTCTTAATAAATTTATATTTTATTTCAAAATAATTTTTAAAAAGAATATTATTAGATTCACATTAAAAAGATTAAATAAAATAATAAAATACTCATCTAAATAAAAATAATTTTTTTTTAATAAAATTTATAAGAACATTATTAAAAAGTGTTTTAATCTGTATTATCTCTGTATATTATAATCAATATTTATCTTTTATAAATATTTTAAATTTTGGATGTGGCTTTTTTTTCATTTGATGTTTTTAATTTTTATAGGCCAATAATCTAACAACATAGTTTTATAGGATTATTCAAAGGAATTTTTAAACATCTAGTCAACAATAAAATTTTGTCAACATTGAACAATTTTAGATTAATGTATAATATTAGCCAACTATTTTTTTTAAAAAAAGATCAAGAATACAAAATAAGCAACAGTTATTCTATTTTATAGCTGAAACATTATTTATTTCTAATTTATTCAAACTTTTAAGTGAAAACACTGTATAAATAATGTGAAAATAATTCAAATAATAATAATAATTTGTTAACACATGACAAAATGACAAGATTTTGTAATTTTAAAGATGAACGATATTGTAATAATGGGAGTAAACAAACGTTTTCAACTTGTTTGAAAACTCGAAGGCACGCATTCTGTAATTCTTGTAACATTTCTAAACGCATTTATGGACAACACATCGAATCCAGATACAAGTTTGGTGAAAGGGGATGTCACGACTTAAGCTTGCTAATATGGAGAAGAAATGAAGGTATCAATGCTAGCTTCATGGGTTAAACCCCCATTAAATCTGTATAAAATTTCAGTAATCAAAAGAATAATTTAAAACAAACTTTAACAGCTTCCTTTCCATAAAAAACTTAAAAACTTGAAACCTGAGTGAGCATAACACTTTGAGCCAGATAGGCAAGACTTTTGCAAGACACACTAAACTCGAGAGTGCTATGAAGACAACCACACAGAGAGAGAGAGAGAGAGAGAGAGAGGGAGATTTCTGTACTTGTTATATATACACAAGGACTTGGAATAGAGTTTGGTCTGCCACCAAGAATTCTACATAAGATGGCCAGAAAAGCAAAACCTGATGGAAGTGGGCAATAACATGATGTTGCAGGATCCACAAGATGTTCACTTTGCTCTTCTCTTATGCACCAAGCTCAGTGTCCTTCGTTGCTATAGCCCTCAACCTCCAAAAGGAGAAGTCCTGTGCTGGGTATTATCCTCCACCTGCTCATCTTCGCCATCTCTCTTCACGTTTCTCCTCAGAACGTTGCCACTTTCGTCTAGTTGTTCTCGATCCTCTACCGTTTTCTCATTCACAACCTGGCCTACTTGATTCCTCTCAACTGTATGGGCTGTTGTCTCTTTGCTTGAAACACCACCCAGCCTGTTGATTTCGTATTTTTCACTCACATCCACACTCTCACTTTTCTGTATTCTTCCTTGGTCGTCTACCTGCTCAGTCTCGCTACTAGTCTGCTTCTTTTGTGAGGTATCTGATGACTCTCTCTGCTGTGTGAAGCTGATGGTTTCTTCCCCTGGGATGTCCTCATTGGCGCTGCGGGTGGTGGTTGTGGCAGAGACTTCATCTTTCACGACCCCGGGTTGGGCTTCGGAGAGCTGGCGTGGACTCGAAGTGCTGCCTGGGCTTTCATTGTCGTCAATGTCGCGCTCAACACGAACGTGTTGCTCGGTCTGCACAATCTCATCGTCATCTTTCTCATCTCGGCTAACCAAATACTCGCCCTCTTTGTGAACCTCTTCGCGCTTCATATGTCCCCACTTGTGCATTGTTTCATGGATGTTTTCATGTAATGTTTGCACGTTGTCGTGTAATTTGTCGTTCATTTTATGAACGTTGTCTTGAATTGCTTCGTTGATGTCCGTGAAACCAGACTCAACTGGCTCGACTGCCTGTGCCACGGTTAATTTCACATCCTCGATGACCTACAATCCCACCCAATCAACCCCAGATTCCAAACCTAATCAGAAACCACAGCGTCAAGTCCAAAAACAGTTGAGATCGACACAATCAAAGAATGGTAATCGAAATCATGCTTGGGAATAAATCAGAAAGAAATTTATTGTGATTCTTTTAATTCATTTTTTATGGTGGAATACACTTACATGTTCGCCACCAGCCATGAATACATCCTTCGCACTCTCCCGAACACTGGTGGCGACAACTTCAATGTCTTCCTCCAGCTCTTCAGCTACACTGTCAACCTTGTTCAAGTTGTGTTTGCTTTCCCGCCGGTATGGGACGGCTGGGTATATATAGTGGTGCGCCACCGCTGCGATTGCCATCTTTGCAGACATAATACAATCAATTCAAATTTTTATAAGAAACAATCCCTGAGGGGATCAGATGAATATGAAGTCCACATAAAAACCAAATAGAGGTTTTGAATAAGAGGAAATGGACAGTACTGCTTACCTCGATACAGATAATGAAATCCTGCAAGTTTGTTTGGAGCATGTCAGTCTGCGCTTCAGAGGGATGGCCTGGCAGCCACTTTCTAGCGATTCCTGATGCAAAGAGCAAGGCAATGAGAACACCTTGCCACCAAGTCACAAAGACGACCGCCTTGAAACACAGAAACTTGGCCAGGGGATTAATTTCCTGAAGCGTATCCCTCGTTACATGGTAAAACTGGACGAGACAGTATAGCGCCCACATTTGACTGAAGTTTTGGATAATTGTTATATATGGGTACCTGCACGCAAGCACAAAAAGCACTCGCATGAATGAACGATGGGGTTATATTCACAAGGAAAAATGCATAAATGAAATCGGCTGCAGGACAACATGGAGGAATGAGATGTCTGCTCGTAAGGAGATTTAAAGCAAGGGATGACTCACCCATAGTGGAAATCGAACTCTCCTTCGCCATATAGATCGAAAATATTCAGAAAAAACGCAGACCACGCGCAAAGTACCTTGATTATCATCTGTAAATAATCTAACAATACAGACAATCAGACGCAAGAAAAGTCTAGAAATAAGACAACCCATAGACCTCCAAAATTCTGGAGTTATTGAGTAACCATACAAATACCGAGGTACGCAAACTCGTTACAATTTCAATTTCAATGAGTTTTATGTGCATTTCTTAACAGTGTTACAAGACAAGACGAGAAGGAAGATGCGGAACTTTTAGAGGACATCATGCAACTTACGTATTGAACGATTCCAAACTTAGCAGAGTCGTAGAAGTGGCGACCAAGTATCCAGGTGTGTGTTACCCATCTGAGAGGGGCTGGATGAACAACCTCATGTGGTCCAGGTTCTTTATCCAGCGAAGTCTCCTCTGCACCTTGTTTGGCGAGTGTTGATACAGCCGATTCCTCTCCTCCTGCATTCGCTCAGGCAAATCAAACAATTATGAGCATTCAATCACAATCTCCATAAAAAACATAAGAGTCTATCTTGACGATGATACATTCTCCACACGAAAAAAAAAAACAACTTACAAGGAAGATTTAAAAAGACGAGGATAAAAAGTTTCGCATACCCAAGCAAGCAATGAGATAGCTCCCAAAGGAGTACAATGCAAATGCTTCGTAACAATCGCCCATGATTCTGAAGTATATCGAGAAGTTGGAGTAACATAATGATGCAAACTGAGACCTATGCGGCAGGATACAGGATTAGGATCGGCTCATGAAAGACACTTCGTACACACCTCAAATCCTCCAAACTGATACATCAATAAATCATTTATGATTGTGCATGCGCCTGTTAATGACAGAATAAGTACATGCGTCGTATTCAACAATCTAGTAAGGTTGAGATTATCACCGATGTGATAGTGTAGACAGGAACCATAAGAATAATGCCTATAAGCCATTTCTGCTCCTGCAACACCGCCAGAGTCGACCACATCAATGCCCAAGGAAACAAAGAATATTCAAGTATACGTATGCATCTTAGCAGATAATAACAGTGTTTAACACAGTCATTTCGTAAGATCACAATAGGAGCAAGCAAATAACCTCGTAACACAAAATATACTCTGCAAAGCACTGGCACAACCCAGCAAAGACGTTTAAACTCGTCACTGTTCCAAGCTTTACCTCAGGTACATTGTAGCTCGAAAGGTGATCAAACAACAGATAGGATGAGAGGCAGAGGGCGAAAAGCACAAATACGGATGCTATTATTAGCGCCCACTTGAATAAGGTGAATTCTTTCGATTCTGTGATAAACTTTTCAAGAGCTGAAGGCTCCGCTAACTGCTGCCAAACTTCCTTGCCCGTAAATAAAACTCGTAACCCCAAGTCTGCCATGCTGGCTATCTTTTCAATGTTGATACCCAATTGTGTCGAAAGACGCTTTCAATTGAAGGACGGATTATTATCTTGAAACGCCTCCGTCACCTTTAATAATTATTGCCCTTGCAGCAAATAAGTGCTCACAGATGCAAAACTTGATCTGGTTGATGCTTGTACTAGTGAAACTGTACAACTAATAAATACATAAAATTGCGAAGTCCCTTTTTAACCCACTTAGCAGGAATTTTCGATTCCGTCTCCTCATTTTGTCGTCAATTCCTTGTATCCCTGGAGCAGTCCATAAGGAGCTTAATTAGCTTGCTGTGAAGGCTCAGATTCAATATAATAAACAAAGGAATGAAGCGCAGATGCTGAAGAACACCCTCACACGTTGGCAACGAATACTATGTCAATACACGGAGTACTTTTGAAACGTAAAGCATGAATTATCTAGTGAAAGCTATAACTGCTTACTGACATGCATTCAACCAGCGCGAAAATCACAGAACCCGATGTCCACACCTCTCTACCCTCGCCACCAACAATACCCAATTCCATTGCAAAGCAGAATCCACCTCAATCTTCAACCCCCCGGCTAAAAACAACAACGACAACAACTACAACAACGACGACGAAGACGACGATTCTTATACAAATTTGAATCGCTTGACATCACGACTCCTGACTCCGCATGCGAGTCCCACACAAACCACCACATATTGCACACAAGAGTACCCAACATCAACACACACCTCTCTCTCTCGCTCTCTCTCTCCCACTCACTCTCGTTCTCTCACTCACTCTCTCGCGCATAATCATCGGCAAGCTTGGCAAGCTGTGGTGCGTCGAGGCAGAACCAACCGCCTTCACCCGTTTCCTGCAAATCCTTCTTCTTCTCCTTCTTCACCGTTGCACAAGAATATCCCAATCATGAAGCCCCACCTCTCTTATCCAAGCCAAAAATCCCCACACACACACCACCACCGCGGTGAAGAAGAGAAGCATTCCCTAAACCCCACCCCACAGAGCACTGCGGGGGCGAGTTGAGCCAATGGTTAGCGACTAACCACTTCTCTAAACTTTCTTAGGGAGCTGATTAGTAGTAACACTACTGCCCCCCTTCTAATAAGAAGAAGGCTCTAGTGTCCACTCTGGCAGGCACGAAAGCAACGCAAGCTTAAGCTCTGCCATGTGTCATCCACTTGTCTCCCCTGCAAGTTGCCATCCGTGCTCGGTGTGGTGGAGGGTGTCCACGTATGACAACAGCACTACCCCCGCTAGACTTGGCCAGCCCCCCGTTTCTAGGAAAGGGCGCTACATTTTCATAGTGGCTTTGCGTTGTATTCTCTCCCTCTTTCGGAGTCGGTGGGTAGGTCTCACTATTCTTACTACTCATTCTAATGTACTTACTTACCCTTTCCAGCCCACAGAAATTATTGCACATGCTGCAATATAATTTTTCTGACACATATTACATATGAAAGTATTGAAATTAAAAGAGTGTGTATATTATTCATTAGGATACAAAATTATTTGTAAGACTCCACGGTCTCGTAAAACATATGAAAGAAGGTGCAATTAATTATTTAATTTTTAAGAATAGTACAAAGACTGCAGTGTAGGCATGTAAATTAAGTTTACTCATGTCTTAGGTACCCTACAATCCCATTTTATTATTTTCATGGTTTAGATATCATCTTCATCAATAACTATTTCTTATATATTAGGTTTCTTCTACTCTATTGACTTCACTTGCAAGAAGGGCATCAATTGCAAAATATAACAAACTTACAAGCATGACTAGAACTAAGGATGAATATTTTCAAGAAAAGCTGAAGTAGTCAAAATTTATAGGAGAATGGCAAAAGCAGCAAGGGGTGGAAGTAGTCTTGAACTTAGGTCTCTATTATTCCACAATCATGTTTTATTGTTTTCATGGCATCAATATTATCATCGCCAATAATATTTTCTTCTATATCAAGCGGCTCCTATTTTATTATCTCAATTTATATTTGTAAGAATGGCTCCAACTACAAAGATGCAGCTTACTTATTCACATTCTTGAAATTATTGGATGCAAATGTTATCAAGAAGATCCTTAGTATTTGGAATTTGTAGAAAACTACTCAAAGAGGCAAAGAATAGAAGTAGTCTTGCAATCAGGACTCAAGTACCCAATAATCTTATTTTGTTATTTTTATGTCATCGACATCATTCTCATCAATAAAAAAATTGTATACATCAAGTAGATCTTGCTCTATTATTTTAACTTGCAATCACAAGAAGGGCCTCAATTGCAAAGATATAGCTTATATGTACACATGCTTGGAACTATGTGCTAATATTATCAAGAAGATTCGTAATAATTGGAATTTGTAGAGGATTGGTCAAAGAAGTAAGAAGTGGGAGTAGTTAAAAGGGATTGTCCTTTAGTTATTACAGTAAAGATAATTTGTGTACATCATTAACGCACTCATTCATATAAGCAATAATTGAATTGCAAGGCTAAGAAAGTTACTCAAAGATAAAATTGACATAATACACATAAGATGCATATTGAGAAAGCCTTTTCATGTGTTCACCAATGAAGACAAAGAGACCTTCTTAACGTACTACAAGACTTGAGAGCTAAAAAATAATTTCTAATGTTTTCATTGTCACTTACAAAAATAGTTCATTAAATAGAAGTTATCAAGCTATATCAACGCTATATGGATGCAATAAAGAATGACTATATAGATGCGTACATATTCAACTATTTTTATTTTACTTAATGTCCACTTCTATTTTTTCAAATTTTGCTTGTTACATTCAAAAGAAGATATTTACAATTATTGTGTTTGCTTCAATGTGCAGTTCAATTATGATAATTTTACCCTCAACAAAAAAGCAACTCTATTACACAAAAGAAAATACATCTCAACAAAATAATTATTCAATAATAATTTATATCTAATTTTTCCAAAGAGTATGTCAATTAATATGCTCTAGACCAAACTATCACTCACAAAGTTATTTCCAATGTTTATGATTTTGAACTCAATGAGGCTATAAATAAAGATTAGTTTCTTTAGTATGTGCACATTGAAGCTAAGGACTATAAAGGTGGTATCACTGTGTTGCATTATTGTTACATGCTTCTTTTGGCTAACTATTACAATAACTTAGTTCTCTAGAACTTTGTGATTTTTGATATCACAAAGACATGCAACAATGTCTATTTCTACAAAAATGTACATAAGACAAGGGCATGGATATTTTCTACACTTTGCAACTATTGTATCACTTAAAAACTCTGCTTTAGGATGTTTTTGATGGCCATACTTCAATCAAGGTTTTTTTTAATATCTTCAATAATTATGTTCGAAAAGTAGTCTTCTATTCATCTCCTTCTTTGATACGGACCAAGTTGTATGCTCTTCGTAGATCTATTTTTGTGTAGATCTTTGCTTGATTGAGTTGATCAAGAAGTCCTGAAATCAAAGGTAAAGGATACCTATTTTTGATGGTGATCTTGTTAAAGCCCCGATAGTCTACGCACATCCATAGAGATCCATCTTTTTTCTTCACAAATAAGATCGACGTTCCTGTTGGAGATTTTGAATGGCATATGAAGTTTTTAGCCAAATTCTCGTCAATATAGTCTTTTAGTGCAAGCAACTCGTTTTATGATAAGCTATAGATTGGTCCAAATGGTGGTTGAGCTCCTTCTTGAAGATCAATTGAACAATCATAAGGTCAATGTTCTGAAAGAATATCTGCATTTTTCTTTTCAAAAATATCTTAGAATTCTTCATATTGACTAGAAATATCACTTGACGTCTTTTCACTATCTGAAATGGGTGTGGCATATATAGCAAAAGATGTCCCCTCTTTGGCTGCATGCATGAAAGCTCTTGTCCCTACTTATAAGGGCTTAGATGCACTAGACTTATGTATTTCTTCTTGATTAATAGAATTTCGAAATAAACTATTAAAAAAATTAAGGTTACGGGAAATCCAATTTATCTAAGGGTTGTACTTTTTTAACCAGGATAGTCCTAAAATGACTAGATTCAAAAGAGATCGTATCACATTAAATATTATTATACTATTATGATCTTTAATTATTACATCTAAATTAACAGTCTTATGGATAACATCACTAGAAGACAACAAATGACCATCTATGACTTCCACATGTACGGGTTTGATTTTCTTGACTAATGATATTACTTGTTTTTTGACAAAGTCTTCGTTTATGAAACAAGTTGAGGCTCCTGAATCTAATAATGCAAAGACTTTATGATTTTTGGGTGCTAAACACACATCTATTGTAAAATAAGGTGAAAGATGTGAGGAGAGAATAGGACCTTGACTAGGTGTTTCACATGGTTCCAACCGCACTGTTCCTATTGTAGCTGGAGGAACTCATTTTTTAACACATTGTCTTCTTTTGCAATCGAACTCCTCATTTTGTGATTGCGTTGCTTGCTTGGATAATATTGAGCAGTGTGTTTAGTTTCTCCATAATATAGACATAAGCCTTCTTGATGTTGTCGAGTATTTTTCTACTCCATGAGGGGTTTAAAATGTACCATATCAATTTACATTGGCTCTAGTTGTTAGGGACATCGTCCTTAGAACCTTCTAGAGACAAGTTTCTAGAACCTTCTAAAGACAAGCTTCTAGAACCTCATAGAAGCAAGTCGCTAGAACCTTCTAGAAGCTTCTTAATTGGTAGAAGATGTTAGGGACATAGTCCTTAGAACCTTCTAGAGATAAGTTTCTAGAACCTTCTAGAAGCAAGTCTCTGGAACCTTCTAGAAGCTTCCTAGTTGGTAGAAGTTACTTGAGAAGCTTCCTAAATAGGAGTATATATTGGAATCGAGGCTGAAGAGTTCTTGAGACTTGACAACACATCTCTTGGAGCTCTAGCTCACCTCTCTAGTGTTGTTCTTGTATTCATCTGATTAATCTAATTCTTGCCAGTTCTTCTTGAACTTCTTGGTAGATATCAAGTCTGTATTCTGTGTTCGTGACAGTTTGTCGAGACTTCACTCACCTCAGATATCAGAGCTAGTTTCTTCTTTGTTAGAGTGTGGATTATCCCTCTGCTTGGAAGTGTACTAGAACTTTAGAGGTTGCGGATTACCCTCCTCTAAACTGATACTTCTTTTGTTACAATATTGGAGTCTTATTCTTCTTGGAGAGAGTGGATTACCCCTTTTCTTGAAGCTTTTAAGGCATTTTAGAGCTTGCGGAGTACCCTCCTCTAAACCAATATTGTCTTCTTGTAGAGTCATTTCTGTCCTTTTCTTAGAATGGTCGGAGGCCAAGACATTAGTATGACGAAAAGTTTGGAGTCCAAGTTAGATGCTATTATGAATGCCCTCGCTACGTTATCGCAAAGAACTGCAAAGATTGAAGGAGTCGTGGCAAGGCTTCATAATGATGGAGCATCTGCGATGGCACAATCTAGGTTGCACGAGCCTCAAACTTCTACACTTGGAGAAGTAACTTTACCTCAGGTTCGACAAGCACCACTGGTTCTACAACATAAGGAACCCCGAGTTAGCCTTCCGAACAAGTTCGATGGTACGCGTTCCAAGTTTCGAGGATTCGTCAACCAAATCAGGTTAATAACAGCTTTACAGCCCGAACGCTATCCAATGGAGGAGTCACGTGTTGGGCTTGTTGGAACCTTACTTACAGGACAAGCTCTATCATGGTTTGCTCTTTTGTTTGAAAAACGATCGTCCATATTAAATAACTTTGAAACCTTTTTGGAGGCATTTGCGGAAGCATTTGGTAAACACGACAAGGTTCGATGGGCTACAACAAAGATCCGGTCACTACGACAAGGGATGCGTTCTACATTAGTCTACGCATCGGACTTCAGGCAATTAGCATGCGACATCAATTGGGATGAAGAAGCATTGATGAGTCAATTCTATTGGGGTTTAAGGGATGATGTGAAGGATTTGCTGTTAACTCTTCCTAATCCGCAAACGCTCAACAAAGCTATTAGTCAAGCTGTGAAGTGCGATAACCGCCTATTCCAACGTCACCAAGACCAACGTTCAAGACAACATACGGTTTGTCACACCCCAACTATGTCGG